CTAATGGTTCTTTTCATTCTACGTCTCTATTCTTCCATATTATGGTTAGCATGAAATTCTTCCAGAGAGTTTGGAGAAGGGCGGTCTCTTGAACATGCCTCATCACTTATTTTCTGTGTCTATGGTGCCTAGGAAAGTGTTAAAGGAGATAGAGAAGATTCTAAGGTAGAAGATAGAGAAGATTTTGAAGAACTACCTGGAGAAGGTCTGACCTTGGGTAGTGGCTAGCATCTAGTTATATGGAAGACAGCGTCTCTTTAGCTGGAGAAGAATGGTCTGCATGTTACTAGAGCCATTTTATGGGATGTATGGTTAGAGAGAATGAATGAATCTTTTTAAGAGAGGAAAATATCATGTGAAAATTTTAGGAAAGTTATATTTTAGTTTCCTTTTCGCGGAGTGCCTTGCATAAGGTCTTTTGGAGTTATTCTCTTTCCATGGTTTGTGTCGATGGGGGAGTTTCTTTTGTTTTTCCCCGTTTTCCTTTCTAAATCTTTCAGTGCGTTGGCTCTTGCCTGGTAATGATAGCCTAAAAGCACTTTTTGGATAAAATCTCATGTATTTAGAGGAAGGCCGGTTGGAAATTAAAAGTAATTGGGAAGTTCCATTACCACTTTTTGGAAAACTCGCACATCATGAGGAGCTGTATCCTGATCTTCATTACTGTACTTGCATCACATGTAATGATGTACTAATTATTACTAGTACCTGAGTTTCTTTCATGGTGTTAGCTTTTCCATGCAGCAGGGACCATACTAACAACTTAATCTTCTTTGGGACACTGATTTCCGGAAGTCTCTTGGGCATCACCCAATGAGAATACAGCATTGATATACCAAATTCATTTTTGAAGGGATTGCTTAGAATGTGTTTATCATGATTCATGAAAGTGATATTTCTTTGAAGACTGTAATTGCTTTGTCCTCCCAATGTAACCTTGGTATAAAATTCCACCGATTTCTTTCTGATAGAACTGAGACTGAATCATATAACTGACTGCTTTTCACCCCCAAAAGTGAAAGGGGTATCACTTGCCAGATATTTCAATCTATATGTCTTGCTAGTGAGAGAATTTATAACACCCAGCATCTTGCTCATTGCAAATCTACAGCAAATCAGTGGCAATAAGATTATATAATTCTGTTGATACTGACATTAATTAAAGATGTGCGTTGAAAGTTGAATGCACTGTTCTGCTCTCATGCAAGTGTTTCCTTGTGAAATAACTTTTCCTTTTCTTTCAAAAAAGAACTAAATACTTAATTTGGTCAATCATGTATGCGCATTTGTGTCTGTGCGTAGGTGTATAAATTTATATCTTTATGTTCAATGGTAGGGACTTTATCCATCAACCTCTTTAATGCTTTTGTTTCTTGTAGTTCAAGGTTATGCTATTATTGAGGGAAGACCTTATCAAGAAGCCCGTCTTCCTTGCTGTGGCATTGGCATGGGCTGGTTCTTGTAAGTTCACATTTGTAACTCCCCATTTCTCTACACTCATGTTCCAACACGTTGATGATTAAATAAAAAATATAATAATTTTTTGTCAGGTTTGTAATTGGGTTCTTTCTTGGTGGCATTCCTTGGTATGTTGGAGCTTTTATCGTACTCTTTGTACGAGTGGATTACCGAGAAAAGCCTGGATATGTAGCATGCGTAATCGCTGTAAGTAGCTATGATATATGAATAGTATTTCTTATTACCTATCTTCGAAACAATAACAATAATAATACCTCAATAAGTATGTAGATGATAAGATTATAAGAATGAACCGATTGTAACTTTTCAAATTAAAACTCCGAAATCCAAAGTTTGAAGTTGTGCTTCCTCTTTCCTTGCACTTGCAGTCAGTCCTTGCCCTCGTTGCTATAACTTTTGGTGTCACCAAGGGAGCTGAGTCGTGGTAAAGGAGGCATCAGCGGAGCAGACTGGTCTGACTGTTCCAGCCTTGTCGCCCCTTGCTTCGACGAAAACAACTTGGTGGTATCGTATTGTGTAATTAGCTTTGCAATTGTATTCATTCAATCTCTATCTATAAACTTCTTGGTTTCCTTTACCATATACTGCAGTCTTCCTGACTTGCCAAATATGATATGCATAATAGATTGAAGTAGTAGATATTGACAACTTTATTGGAAGGTATTCATTCAAATGTTTTTGTGATGATATAGTTACACTTACAGCTGATTAACTCAGATTATCATGCATTTCCCTCAAAGTTGAGGATTTCTTTCTGCAGCTATTGCATTCCCTGTTCCTGTTCTCACCATTGATTAGGATGGTCGTCCCGTTTTCTGCTCGGAATGAACAGCGGGATGGGGCAGGATCAAGGGTGCTTTTTCGATTCCGGTCGCTGAAGGAAAATTTGCAAAAGAACTTTTAGTTTACTTTGAACTCACCAAACAGCATCTACTCACTAAACATTCTTTAGTGTCAAAAAAAAAAAAAAAGAACTAGAAAGGTGCTTAGAAATCAGACGCCATTAAGCAAGAGCATCTTGAAACTGAGTAACCGAGAACTGGAAGCTTGCTTTATGGAAAATTGTCTTTAGAGACAACCACTTGAAATCTCTCTCTCAAAATATAATAATAGATTCTTCAAAAAGAAATAATAATAATAATAATAATAAAAGTTGAAATATTATTTTGGACTTGTACTTTCAGGTTTAATTCATTTTGATCCATGTATTTTTAAAGTTTTCCTTTTTGTTCATTTTAATCGATGTATTTTTGCAAGCTTTGTTTTGATCTATGTACTTTGACTATTTTAATCTTGTAATTTTTATTTTTATCTAATTTATTTTGATTAAAATTTAACACAGAATTTTTTGAAATATAGTCGTAAATTTAAATTCAAACATTTTTTTGGGTATGAGTTTAGTAAATAAGAATCAAAATGATTATTTTTAAAAAATTATAGAGGTCAAAATATTGTTTTGGAGTCAAAATAGGAGTATGAAATAATATTTAAATTTAATAATAAATTAAAAAAACCACTAGAATCTGGGTAGTTGGCGTCCCCCCTGCCTCGAAGCTGTAAACTCAATTTTTTTAAGAAAAAAAATACATCTTAAATAGAACTCAAATCAGAGGAAATTAAGAAGTCCAGCCAATTAGGAGGGATAGAATTCTACTCTTCCGTCCATTTGCAATCCATTGAGCTACATGTGCTACTTTGTTTGCCCGTTCTTTGATATGTTTCATTCGATACAATCTCTATCTCTTCTGTTAAATGTCAAATTTCTTTTCGGTCTACCGTGAACTTGTTGAATTGCTTTCAAACAAATCCAATTTTTGAAGTATGAAAATCCTTAAAAGTAGTTATGACGATCAAAATTATATGGGTGAAAAAATAAAAAAATAAATAGTATTTTACGATTTAAGAAAAATTATTTTGTAACTAGTTAGAATTTGATTTTACAATTTCTCTTATTGAATAAGAAATAGGAGAAATTATAGCTTTTATCTCATAAATTTTAGTAATTTAATTTTAGGCTCAAACTCCTAAACTTAGCATCCGGGACGCGACGTCTTTGACCTAGCCTATTCTCAAACTCTAAATAGGTAGGACGGTACTGTTGCTTTGTTGAGCCGCGCTGAGGCCATTTTTGATAAGCAGAACTGAGAAGCTTGAATCTTCATCTCCACCTATTAAACTCAAGAGAAAAAATAAAGTATAATCTAACAGTTATTAAAATCTAATAAGTTGTTATTCACATTTTTGAAATTATGAAAAATAAAGAGCCAAAATTATTCACAAATTTTCCCATTTCTGAAATAGGCTCTAAAAACAAAATATCCGAAAAAATAAAAAGAATATATTCACGATCCCAAATTGTTCTCGTACTTCCATGAATCGTTTCAACCCCCTTATTACTTTTCGGCATTTAAATAATCTAAATACATCAATACTTTATTACGTGGAATTATTTAAATAGCAATAAATAAATAAATAAACAGAAATCTGCATGAGATTTGCTTTAAAGACAAGTAACAAGTTGCCCTAAATTCACGTGCCTCTCTGTTTCTTTACACAAATCTATTCAATTTTTTAATTCCTACAATTAATTATTTCCCATTATTATGCAGCAAGAAGAAAAAACAACCCAAACAAGTCACAGACAAACAAAAAAGTCATTAAATGATACAACATGCAGTTCCCCACCGTCGGATCCCCACCTCGGCCTCCAGATCCACAATCGAACGGTGGAACAGCATTCTACCAAGATTGGTCTCGTTGAACGCGCCGCA